TGCTGAAGAATAGCTCAGCCCCTATGTCCTTTGCAATGGCTACAACCAGCTGCTGTACACAATCAAATAAAATGTTGGATCACAATAAGTGGCAAATCTTGAGCCCCAACATCCAAGCTCCAATTAATGTCAATGAGACCAGCATGTGCTCCTAAAGGTGGCCAGTCTTGAAGAATGTTCATAGCTGTTGGATAACTCCTAACATGCCATTCAACACTACAGGGATTAAAGCTTTTGCTAATAGACAGTTACATCACTGTACAACACCATTCATCCCCAGTCTAAATTATCTCCAATCTTTGTTTGTGTTCCTTCTGCTCCATGCATGACACCACCCCCAAATGCCTCTGTATTTGATTGTTTTAGTAGCCCTTCCCCCCTGAACAAGAAATTGGTTCACCCAAGTGCCATCACTGTCCAATATTTATTCAAACCCCTCCTAAAATCTCATTCTTTCCATCTTTCCAGCAAGGAATGAGACACATTAAAAATAATAATAATAGAACTTTGGGAACGTGGTCATGATTGAGTGAATATGCAACCTTATTATTACAAACCCTTTCCCCACTTATTTTTATGTATTGTCCTTACTGCTGTGGTGTGTCTGAAACTTGATTCTAAATTCCCTGGGATGGAGAACTGGGCATAAATATTCAAGAGCTACTGATCTGGGGATGCCAAACTTGAAAGGGGCCTCCTGCTTCCAATGAATTCAACAGAAAATTCCCATCAATGTCAGTGGAGTAGAACAGTGGTGTCTCGGAGGTCGTGTATTCAGCATTCTCTTATGTACTCTTATTCTTAAGCACACAGATCTTCCCTTTAAGTTCAGTTGTGAATAGGACAAAGCAGCTTACCGCTCATTGGCCTTCAGCTGTAACTCCAAATGTGCAGGCTGAAAACAAAGGATTTGGGGGTTACATAACACAAATGACAAGAATATGAGCATACTGCAATGAAATTCATGGTTATCTCTGAACAATTAGCATACCCTCCAAGAGAACCAGACAAAGAACTAACATGATGGTTGAATTGTCTGCCACCACAGACAGAAGATAGACTCATGGGACACATCTCCATATGCAGGGGTATGCACTTGCAGCAACAACAACAGTAGTGACACAAATTTGTGCTGCTATTTTTTGCCGCAGTGCACACCCCTGCACTGCCAGTGTATCCATGTCTGCCAGTGTATGCTCCTGTTGCATGCGCCATGCTGCTTTTTTTCTTGCCTTTTTTTTTGTTACCAGGATTTCCTAGTACCAAAATGTTGCCCTGCACTACAGATCTGCAATGCGGGGCACATTTTAACATTCTGCACATGTGGTTTGTGGTGCTGCAAAGAGGTCTGCAGTGCCAGAAACAGCATGTGCTTGCACATCTGGATGTGGCTATGTATGATATGGATGAAGGGGCCATTATGAACATCTAGTCTACCCCCTGCATTAAACAGATTAAAGAATTTCAACCAATGACTGCTATATCAACCCGAATCACTTCTGGTTAGGCAAAAGCAAATACTTTAGAAATACATCAGCTGTGACAGGATAAATGAAATGTAATTGTAAATTATTACACTCTTTATATACTACCATATAAAGCAGAGGTGGGCAATTATTTCAGGTGGAGAACCACTTAACGAGGTTTGGTGAGCTTTCGAGGGCCACATGGGTAGCCCTACTCCTTGACGGTGGCCCTTCCCTCTGTCAAGCCCTGCCCCAACCCCTGACCTTTGCCACCAGAAGTTACTCCCTTTGTCCCTCTCCCCCCCACCACCCCACCAGAAATTCTCCTTTTCAGAGGGGGAGGGGTGCCATCTTGGAACCAGAAAAAAAACAAATCATACACTAAAAGTCAAACATCTACTATAACATATTTTAATTTTATTACAAAAAATATTTTTGTCATGATTTGTGTTTGCATACTGTATATAGAAGTGATTGCATAATAACTCAAAAATAAATTCTAAGTCTTGAATATTGTGTGGCAGGGTGTGGTTGGGGTTGTGTGTGTGTATGCTGGGGTGTGGGTGTGTGATGGGGGTGGGGCATGTGGCTGCGTATATATGTGTGGGATTGCGGAAGCAGGGTGTGGCTGTGTGGCATTTGTGGGCTGAGGGAGGGTGGAAGAGTATGGAGACCCCCTTCACACTCCCCACATGGCACAGCAGCAGCAGGCAGGAGCGCTCAGGGTGGTCGTGCCTGGCTGAGTCCCAGGATCTGTACGGCAGGGAGTAAGGAAGGCTGCCAGCTCCAATGCATGGAGCTTCCCTCCAGTGGCACGCAAGTGCAGTGGCTGCACATGCGTGGCAGGGAGCGTCAATGATAAGGCAGCCCAGCTGGGCTGTGTCCCTCGCTGTGATGTGCAGTGCTGGCCAGAGCTGCGTGCCACCAGGCAGCAGCACCTATGGCAGGTATAAGCACCCTGAGCACCTCCGCTTGCTGCCACTGCTGCCTGCTGGGGCTCTGCACAATGTGGGGAGTGTAGGGGGTCCCCACACCCCCATCCTCCCTCACCGCCACACCCTGCCCACCCAAGCTCCACACTGCCACCACCCCCCTGGACGAGGGCTCCATGTTCCCACCCAGCTGCAGCTCCCCACCACCCCCACCACTTCCCTATCTGCTGCCCGGAGCAAGTGGGATGCTGAGGAAGCTGAACAGGTTCCCCGGCAATGGCAGCAAACCCCTGCCTGGAAGCTGTGTGCTGGCTGGACTGGGCCCTTTGCCCATGGAGGTGGGAACGAGGCGGTATAGGGTATGTTGCGGGGGGTGTAAACGTGGGTGCCTCACTCCCATCCTCATGGGTGGAAGAGCTGAAAGGGGTACAATTAGCTGGTGGGCACCGCAGGCCAAATAAAAATGCCTGGTGGGCCATATTTTGCCTGTCCCTGATGTAAAGACTGAAAAACCATGCATCTTATTTATTCAAAAGGCATAGTAAATTAAATAAGAACTTGATTATTAAAACTAGCTACTATTATATGCATCTGATTCAACAAAAGAAGGAAAAGCACTTATTCATGGGTGGATCTACGATTTTGAAAAAAGAAGTGCAAATGGAAAGGTACATCATCATCTATAACACAAAACATATTTTTCTCAATTTAAAAGAAACTAGAAGCTTTACAAATAAGCTAGAGACCTAGGGCTTATTATTCAGTTTAAGATTGAAGCAAAAAAAATATTGGAATGTGTATTCATAGAGTCATAGAAGTAGGGTCGGAAGGGACCTTGTAGATCATCAAGTCCGCCCCCCTGCCCTGGGCAGGAGAGAAAACCGGGCTCAAATGACCCTAGCCAGGTAGACATCAAGCCTCCTCTTAAAGCCCCCCAGGGTAGGAGCCATCACCACTTCCCTTGGAAGTTGGTTCCAGATCCTAGCCGCCCTGACTGTGAAGTAATGCCTTCGGATGTTTAGTCTAAACCTACTCTCTAACAATTTGTGGCCATTATTCCTTGTTACCCTAGGGGGCGCTAGGGGGAACAGGGTCTCTCCCAAACCCTGCTGGTCCCCCCTAGTGAGTTTATAGATGGACACCAGGTTCCCCCTCAGCCTTCTCTTGTGAAGGCTGAACAAGTTAAGGTCTCGTAGCCTCTCTTCGCAGGGTCTGCTCTGCTGTCCCCGGATCATGCAGGTGGCCCTCGTCTGGAACCTCTCAATGTTGTCCACATCCCTCCTGAAGTGCGGCGCCCAGAACTGGACACAATACTCCAGCTGGGGCCTGACCACTGTCACATAGAGGGGGAGAATCACCTCCCTGGCCCTGCTTGAGATGCATCTGTGAATGCACAACAAGGTATGCTGAGCCCTACTGAACATGACCTCGCATTGTCGGCCCATGTTCATCTTGGAGTCAGTAATGACTCCAAGATCTCTTTCTGCCACCGTGCTCTCAAGAAGGGAGTTTCCTAGCTTATAAGCATGCTGCTGGTTCTCACTGCCCAAGTGTAGCACCTGCACTTGTCAGTATTGAAACCCATCCTATTTTTGTTAGCCCACCCCTGTAACCTGTCCAAGTCCTGCTGTAATCTGTCCTTCCCTACTAGCATGCCCACCTCACCCCAAATCTTGGTATCATCAGCAATTTTAAACAGGCTGCTTTTTACCCAGTCATCCAAGTCACTAATAAAGAAATTGAACAGTGCGGGCCCAAGGACCGAGCCCTGGGGGACTCCACTGCCCACTTCCCTCCAGGTCAAAAAAGACCCGTCCACCACTACCCTCTGAGTACGACCCATCAGCTAATTTGCAATCCATCTGACTGTGTAGGCATCAATGCCACAGTCACCTAGTTTTTTGATGAGAATGGGATGGGAGATAGTGTCAAAAGCCTTGCTGAAGTCCAGAAAGACTACATCCACCACGACACCTGCGTCCAATGCTTTTGTGACCTGATTGTAGAAGGCAATCAGGTTGGTCTGACAGGCAATCAGGTTGGTCTTATTTGCTATATCATATATGATATATAAAAACACAACAAACTAGGCTCTAAAGACATTGCTTCATTAGTCCTGTAGCCATTAGAATTAAACATACATCTCTTTCAGATTCATAAAATAAAATCAAGCCTTCTTGAGCTTCTTGACAGTGCATCCAGTGCTTCAGTTAAAGTTATTTCCACACCTGAGTGAATGTTCACCTAAATTAAAATTTCCACTCCCAAGTTAATGTTGCCAGGTAGAATTAAAAACAGTGTTCAGGCCAGTGAAATAGGAGCTACGTTAGCAGACTGCAGAATTGCAGAAGAAAAGATAGCTTGATTAGTAAAACTATTAAAAATCATTAAAAAAGGAGGGAGGGTAATTAACACTTGTTGAAGGAAGAGTTTAAAAGGAATCAAATTGTAGTGAGCCTTGAAGTCAATTGACTCATTCACTACTGCCTGAATGGAAATGCTGCTGCCACTGCCATGCAGTTGGTTTTAAACTTTGGATGGAGCAGGAAAAAAAGGGGCGTGCGACTGCACCACTGCACCCTGTCCCCCCAGTCCCACTCCTGCACTTACCTTTTCCAAAGGCAGTCCTACTTTCATTTTATGTCCAATGGAAAGTGAATTAAGTGGTACTTCCAGGGAGCCACTGGAAGCATCTCTTTGCATTTTTTTTTCAGCTGCACCACTCTGAAAAGAAAATCCCAAGTATTTTGGCTGTGGTGAGAAACATTTTAAAAACACAGTAAACTGAAAAAAATAGATTAACCTGTGCAAACACTGTACAAGCTGACAAGTTGATAATGGATAGAGGATGTTACCTCTAGTGTGGCTTTTAATGTTGGCTCCCAACCCTTTATGCAGTGCAAGCACAGGATGTCTGAGTCCTCAGTGATTCTTTGCATTTCTTCATAGGATTCCTTCACCATAAGCATAACACTTTCACCCCCTAGATAAATAAGGCCAGTTAGTGTACATAGGGTTATCAACATAAGAACATGACAGTGCACCCCTTTGCAACACCTCCCAGCTAGCTGTGTATTCTCTCCCCTGCTCACCTTACAAATCCTGAGTAAGCAGTCCTATAGTCCATTCATCCATGCCAGAGCCAAACCATTATAAAAAGGGAGGCCCATTTCTCAAATAACCTTATCCCTTCTAAGTTCTATTTGTGTCTCCAGAACTTTTTACAAGACAGGCAATTTGATTACAGAGGGGAAACTTTTTCAATCCAGGTGCTTTCTCTTTCTCTGATACTAAGTTATTAAGGAAGTAATAAGTAATAAGGAAGTCAGCTCTAAGATTCATTATTATTTTTCATGGTTATTGTTATTAATAACAATGAATCATACAGCTGGCTTCCTCCAACATTCAGTTATCCCCACTCTTCCACCATTACCTCCTAGTGTGCACAAAATATGGTATGAACTGTTTTTTAATCTTATGCAGGAGCAGAGGTGAGCCCTACCAGACATCCTATTGAGTAGAACCTCTTCCCATTTCTCCCATATGATGCCCTTAGTCAAGAAAAGTAAATTTCAAGGTGTATTGACTTTGGCAGTAGAGACTTAGGCACTTCCAAAAGTGGAGAATTGTTGGTCGCTCAGAAACTTGAACAGAATTAATCACTGATACTGAAAGTAGGGCTGTGCAAGTAATTCATAGTAAATAACATTTTAATGAACTGTACCTGTTAGTTTATTAATACATAGGTGTAAGGCAGGGGGTTTCAACCTTTTGGGGTCATTGTACCCCTGGCAGCTGGTCAAAATGGCAGGAGTCCCCCGGTGGCCAGACGAGCAGGTGGGGGAGGAGTCCCCCAGCGGCCGATCGGCAACTTGGGGTGGGGGGCACGACTGGCAGCACAGCGACGGTGGAAGTGCCAGCAGCATACACTGGCAGCAGCCACTGCCAAGTACCCCCTGAGGCCATCAGAAGTACCCCAGGTGTACACATACCCCCGGTTTAAAACCCCTTGTGTAAGGAATTCACAATATTAGTAGTGATTTGAAAGTAACCAAGGAATAATTTCAGTGAATTTTTTGGTCTGAAGCTTGTCTATGAGCATTTCCTTGGGGATATCCAATCTATGAAATTCAGACTGCTTTTGTAAATCATGTGATATACCTCTGATCAGCATTTGCATGATCATAGCTGAAGTCTACTAGATTTCTACTAGACTTCTACAAACTTCTGAATTGTACTAGAATTCTTCAAAGACTTGGTATTTTGTGTCAGGAGACCTGGGTTCCAAACCTTATTCTGCCACTGATCTGTTGTATGGGAAAGTTGCTCTTTTTCTTTTTTGCCTCCATTTACCCTTTAGCCTTTAACCATCTCATCCATTTAGGCTTTAAGCTCTCCTGGATGTGTATGGTTTCCAGCCATGCATCTGGATCATCTAGTACAATAGAGCTTTCTCTCACTTGTGGCTTCTATTGAAATTCAAATTATTAATAATAATTTTAGAATTAAATTTCTGAATACTTCTAGTTGCTAAATGTAAATTTGTTCTCCAGAAATATTTTCCAATATTTGTCAATATTCTTACCAATAAGGTCATTTGCTAGAACACATCTGGAAAGTTAGCATAAAAGAGGATGTGAAAATGTTCTAAGCAAACTTGTTAAAAATGTGAATGCTGGTAAATAAATATTTGGGGACGTTTGAAAGGGTTTCCCTTCACTATTTACTCAGATCCACTTGGAAGACAGTTGTACCAAGGATCAAGCTTTTCTCAACAATTGTTTTTCTTTTGCTATTATGGATATTTGGAAGTAATTAAAAAATGTATTGTTTCTTATTTAGCAAGTGTGGGCTGCCAAGTAGGCAGGATTTACTTCATGGTAAACTCACTTTTTAAACACTCCTCATTTTCCCCTTTGGTCATCTGAACTTCCAAACATAACATTTCCCGGGCCTGTGAGAGACAACCCATAAGGATAAAACCAGCTACTGAGAAGCATTTTATTCACAGAGAGTAGATGTTTGGTCATGCTTTGCTCTTATGCAACTTGTAATAGAATTCTAATGTGCCTCAATACCCCCCACTCATCCAGATGAAGAAACTTCTTGCAAAACCGTTCAAAATTAAGGTAACATAGAATGCAAACTTGAATACCCATCTGATTTTCACATGGCATACAAATTTATGGAGCTAAAAAGAGACTTTTCCCAGTAAAAATTAAGATTAAAAGCAAAAATGGGTCTATTTTCAAGTGAAATGGGCTTATTTAAACAGTTAGGCAAGCTTTTTCTCTATAAAAATATACATTTATGCATGTTTAATATAAAAATGCAATTTGATCAACACTGCAACACCTAGTTGTGGGCAGGGAGGGCAAAAGCATGCCTTCTAGTTGGTGTGTTTTGTAAAACTTGGATGACAAGAATAGTTAACTCAATTTAACTGTATGTATGATTTTTCCTGATACCAATGCTGCTGAATTCAAAAGTTCAAATTCATGAATCAGACCCCCCAAATCAAGTCTTTTCAGCTGCCTTTCATTTGTTTCAGTTTTTGGGCTTCTTTCCTCCTCCTTTACACCTCCCTCCCAGCTTTTCTCTACAAACATAATGGCAAGAAACATTTCTTTTAAAACAGATTTACATAAAAATCACAAGATTTCAGGAGCTAGGGCTAAAGGAAATTACAAAATACTGTAACAATTGCAACAAAGTCACAAGAGATGGCACGGCACCACCATGATTCAGAAACCTTACCACCAGGACGCCATTAGTAATGAGTTTCTCAGGAGGACTGGGGCTGGAAAAAAGGCATTCAAATAAAAGCTTTTAGCAATGAAGTACATGTATTAAATGTCTCATTTTTAGGCATGTTGAAAAGCGAGCTCTTCTAAGCCTGTGCAACATGTTGTTGCTTTATCTGCCTGGGAAGTAAATTCAAAGCTTCCACAGAACAAGGATTACAACATTAAGCCCTTGCTGGTGGGTTTTTTTGTTTTTAAGGGAGTGGAGCAAAATGGAGATTTCAGAATTAGAACTGGTCAAAAATCAAAAAAACCCTCTCGTAAAAATGCCCAGGTTTTGCCATTTGTTTTTGTTCTGATGTAGAACTACTGAGACACCTCATAACTTATCATAGAAAAAATCCAAGAGAGACACCTCCAAAATAGCTACATCCTGGTGGCTGGAGCCCTCACCAGAGACCGGAAGATCCAGGTTCCTGGTCCCTGCTCTAAATCAGGCAGAGCAGAGAATTGAGCCTGTGTGTTCTTCCACCAGTACCATAATGAGAGGTGGGTCATCATGGCACCAGCTGGACACCCACTTAGGCATGGCACAAGAAAACAAGCTGCCATTGCTGCTGGCCCAGTTGCCACCCAGAGTACAGATTCTGGCTGTTACACCTCTACCCCTGGCATCACCGGTGAGTGCCCTGCCGCTGGGCTACTAGTTATTCCATGAGGTCTCTGTGCCCATCCTCTCACCTCCTTCCATTCTGGACCTGAAAAACTGTTCTGAAAAAAATGTCATTCAAACAGTTTCTGTTTTTCCAGTTTCTTGAAGAAGAAGAAAAATCAAAGAAAATATCCCTACCAGTTCTAATCAAAACACAAAAGCTCAGAGACATAATGAACAAAGCAAAATAAAAGAATGTACTAAGGATGTGAAAGAAGGGCACCGACAATATATATTTGCTGCCGTATGGAGAAATCAGACATGGCTCCCGAGGGTGACAGTGTGAGCTACTGTTTATTTACCACTGTCACATCAGAGCATAGAATCATAAAAAAGTAGGGCTGGAAGGGACCTCCAAAAGTCATCCACTCCAACTCCTGCCTGAGACAGAATCATTTTTATCCAAATCATCCCAAGCACATCCTTATCTAATCTATTACTAAAACTAACCAGGCAACCCTGCGACACAGCCACAAAGCATAGCACCCTAATTTGCCACTGGTAAGGCAGGAGGATAATAGTGGCCAATATCCTGTTGCTGCGAAGGTTGTTAGAATAGGCTTGAGAGATCCAAGGAAGAGAGCCACATGCCTCCACTACAGAGGAAGGCAAACCCCCCCACAGTCCATACCAATCTGACCATGGGTGAAAATTCCTTCCTGGCCCCAGATATGGCAATTGATCTGACCCTGAACACAGAAGCAAGACCTACTATCCAGGAACCTCTGAGTTTTAGTCATAGCAGGAGCCTTGGCACACCCTAGTGAAAATCCCCAGCCTTATTCTATAATTACTATTATATTATAGTCACTTATAATGCTCTAATTTCAGAGCAGATAACTTACATGCCTCCCATCGTGAATTCCACTTCTAAAACCTCCTTCCCCTAGAGAAGAAGACGACAATAAGTGATCAAGGAAGAACCCTGGTTGATTAAAATCTCTTTTCTCAGGCATCCCTGGTAGCCAGTATGATGGAACATATGGGATGGGTATGACCGTATTCTTTGATTACAGTGTGACATGTTAGTAAAGAATTAATAAAGTGGGACAAACAATTTTTGTGAGAGCGCCAAACTCACTAACAAAATGTAGGCTCTAAGTTGTACTTGCAGCTAAACCACCCTCAAGGAAAAGGTGCTCTCCAGATAACAGTTATTATTCTCTTGTAGAAGCTAAGACATCAAAAACAATATCAGCACTAACAATAACCAAACACAAAAGAGCGTCATAAAAGCTCAGAAAACATGAACTTTGGTGATCTGTTTCTAATTATATGATGTGTCCCATTTGAGTGGGAGCTATTTTTGATTCTCTTACAAAGAAAGTAAGTCCAGCTAGTGGGTAGGCAGCTGATGTGCTTTAAGCACTGCACAGAACCTTACAACTAGGCTTGGCACAATCTGGTTTTTCTCACTAAACGACAATTTCACCTCACACGTACAGACCAACGGAAAAATATTTCCATCAGTAATAAACAAAATGCATAGAAAGGGGATGTAAGAAAAAAAAATCCAAGATGAGGGGGTAAGAAAATCCGGGACAAGGGGCGTCATGCACAAACATACATATAGCAACCTCTGCAGGTGGGGTGGTGGGAGCCCTGGCTATGCCGCCTGCACACTGGTCTTCTGGCACTGGCTCAGGCAGCCGCTGCAGGACCTGAGGGCTGTGCTGGGAGGGGTTTGGTTGGATGCTGGCTGCTGGCAACAGAGCAGGGAGGGGGGACACTGCTGCAGGGTCCTGTCGCCAAAGGGCAGGGCTGTTGGCAGACAAGAGCCCAGTGCCACTGGCTGCTTGCTCTGTCCAGGTCCCAAATGGGCATCAGATGGCAAACTCCCATCGAACCTGACCCAGCTCCTGTATGCTCAGGGCAGGGCACACGGGGGTGTCCCCAGGGCCCAGCTACTGCCCATGTGCTGCCCAGACCGGCAGGAGACTATGGCTATCAAGGGGCTGGGCTGCTCCTTCGCTGGTGACTGCCAGGCAGGGCTTGTTCCCTAAGGGGCTGTGGGGAGCTGTTTCCCACCTAGAGCTTGGAGATCACTGCCTCCCAGCGCAGTGCAGGGCTCAAGGCATTCAGTGGCATTTGGCAGCCAGGAGTCTCCTGACTCACCTCCCGCTGCAGCAAGTGCTGCCAACGACCCCAGCCTGCAGTCCCTAGCCCAGCTTCTGCCCCTGTGCTCCACTCCATGAGAGCAAAGGCTCCAGCCTGGTATGAATATACTACCACATAGCAGAATGATTTAGAGCAGGTATACTTTATTGATGTATGGATATTTACTTTTTTATGTTTTGACATGTGCTTTTATAAAGCTCTTAAGAGTATACTGTCATTTCTAAATTGTCTGCCCCCCATGCCCCTAATTGCACACAATCCTGAAAATTTAAATCGATAAAAATCTAAATAAATGCTTAAAAATAAACATTGTTTTTAGCTGTTGAACTTAACAAAAAATAAAAATCAAATTCTGCCAAGCCTCATTGTAACCTGTCTCACTGTTACCTTACTCCTTTCCTGTCTGTCATTTGTATTTGTATTTCTTCTCCCCTCATGTAATTAAATTAAATATTTGTGTTATAGAGATGCATGATGCCTGGCACAATAGGATCTTGATATTTGATTGGGATCTGTTAATGCTACACAATCCACATATATATACAGGTAAATGTATTATTAAAGGTTTTATTCACCTTCCCCTTTCTATTTCCAAACCACACTAATTTCTGTTCTCAGGAATAATGAACAGAAAGATCATTTTTGCTAGGCCTTACATAAACATTTTTATTTCTTTTGATGAGAGAGTAGAAATTTGTAGGAGTCTCATTTATTATTATTTTTTTAATTTATAGATGATACCAGAATACACCTGTTTGCTTTTGTTTGGCATGATTTTAGTTTTTGCCTGTATTGAAACTGATTTGAAATGGCTCCTTTTAAATAAATGGGAATCAACTAATTATAAGCCTGGGACAGAAAAAGCAGCAGACAGTACAGGCTATAGATGAATCAATTCTGAAAAGCTATCAGCTTGGAGTTGTACTGTCTCCTCTCTCATGCAAATGATAGATCATTACAAAAACTACTAAAAATGACTAGCAAGGATGGAAAAAGAAGGACTTTCACTGTTCCTTTGAAATGTTCCTCAGAAAAAATCTCACTGAAGTCAGCTCCACATGCAAAGTCAAAAAAACTCAAACGTAAAAAAGGGTACCACCTGAAAGGAAAAAGACAGCAGCATCCTTCCCAGCTCTGCTTATCATTTTAGGCCTTACCTCTGAATTAAAAGTGAGTTTTTCATGAACTGTTTCTCCAGGTTTTACTTTAGCTACATCATAGGCTACAGTAAAGAGGAGATCATCCTTAGTAGCGACATCTTCATCATAGAGCTCCAACTCCAGAATGTTCTGAAGCCAAGGGAGAAGATGGGTAAGAATTTGAAATTATGTTTTAGGGAAGCTAAGAAATGTAGGTAATGCTCACGATGGCCCTGATGGGTTCAATCAATACGAAGGAATAAGTGATAGGGCTGTGTGAAGCTTTGGTCCCTGATTCGATTTGGTCGAGATTCGGCCCAATTCAGCGGCCAAATCTCCGAATCCAAACCGAATCAGGAGACCCTTTAAACTCTCTGAATTGAATCAGAACCCTCCAAATCGATTCAGAGAGATTCGGAAAGATTTGGCTATTCAGACATAGACGCAGCTTAAATGTTTTTTCTACATACCTCAAGGTACCAGGCAGCTTGTCAACGCTGCGATGCTGGGGTGCATGGAGTGTCCCACAGGAGCACAGGGGGCTGCCCAGAGCGCTCAGCAGCAGACCCGGAAGTGGAGCAGAAGCACTTCCAGTTCACTTCTGGGTTTGCTGCCGAGCACATGCCCTCCCTCCCCCTGCAGCCCTGTGGGATGCTCCACGTGCCCCAGCATCACAGTGTTCACAAGCAGCACCTGGTATCTTGAGGTATGTAGAAAAAACATTTAAAGCCATGTTTATGGCCGAACTGTTGACTCTCCGAATCAGTATCAAATCTTCAGATTTGGATTCAGCCGAATCGAATCAGGGATAGTGATCCAAATCAACAAATTGAATCACTGTCCCCAATTCAGGCCGAATCTGAATCCAAATCAAATATGGCCCATTTCACATCATCCCTAATAAGTGACCTACCTTGACTTGAGTCTGGATCCTAAAATGGAA